ATAATCTGTTATGGTCTCACACTGATCACTAGTACACTGGCTCTTGGGTCTTCAGGGAGGTGCAAAGTCAGCCACTGCCTGGGGCCGTCCATCAGGAGCTACAGAGAGATCTACAGATTCCTCCTCTTTGTATCAGGTTTGGAAGTGCCCAGACGAGGCCCAGCTGTGAAGCAAGGCAGGCTGGTGCTGGGTCTTGGACCTTTTATTGATAGCCTTGGAGCTCCCTGACCCAGCTGCAGCTTGTTTGACAGAGTTTTAGCCTCAGAAAGGACAGACCATTCATATGCAAAGGCCACTGTGCACAGCTTGGGCGGGGTTGTAAATTGGGTGGGGCGGGGTCTCAGGGAATCACCAGGTCAGAGTAAATAGAAATGTCTGCCAGTCAGCCCTGCACCAGGGAGATCCCAGCACAGGAATAATGACCTCTGGGAGTACCTCCGTCTGGAAGAAAGCCTCCCATGAGTTTATGCAGACAGTCCAGTTTCTCCCCGTATGAGTCAGGGTCCCCAGAGATTCGCCTGGAACCGGAGGTCAGAGCAGTCAGGAGCTTGTGTCTCCCTCCCGATTGACAAAGACAACCGTGTCCTCAGTTGTTAGCCTTTTCTGCGTGTGCCTCTGTACCTCTGCACTTTACTTCCGCACCTCCTCTGAGTCTCAGTGTGCTTTTCTCTTTCCTTCTAGTTGTAGAATTTCCACTCAGCCAGCCTTCCTGTGGTTCTGGATGATGCCCGTTTTGTCTTTTAGTTGTATTTTTGAAGTGGTTGTGCAGGGCAGCAATTTCCGGTGTTTACCTATGCCGCCATCTTGGTTTCTCTCAGTTTTATGGCTTTTGATACATATTATCAGGTCGCATTTTGTCAAAAGTTGTTTCTATTTGTAATGCCACCAGCACCGAAGGAGTGAGACATTTGCAGTCTTACATTAGTCACAGTGTTCTTATTTTCTTTTTTAAATGCTGAGAGCTGGTTTTATTAACATGGGGTTTTTCAATCTATTCTAACCCTGTTACCAATAGAACTAGCCATAGAGATAACTGGGTTAGTCCTGTAGTCTTTGACCACAGACTAGGCTAAAACTATAGAAGGCCTCCTGGACAGAACATTGTGAATATTTGGATGTTTAAAGCATTCTGAGCATTTATTCAATAATTGACTTGGCAAATGGACTAAATGCACATATAGTCCGCCCACCCATTCAGAGTTGTGTATACTATTTGGCTTGTGTTGACAAAATTGTGGCAAATTAGCTGTAACTTTAAAATAGGTATAGAGAAATAAATGCATATTTTCACCTCATACTCACATCTTCCAAAAAGTGAATAGACTATCCATATCTCTAGATTTTTTTCTTGCATGTTGCTGCATCAATATTTCTACTCCAGAATATAGACACAAGTAACTTTCATACAGTGACTGCTAATGACCACAGTAGTACAGATTCATGTTGGTGTGTTTTTTTTAAATCCAATTATAAAACAGCATGAATGATGTGTTTTGTTTTTTCTAAGTATTTTTCTTTAGTCGTTTCAGTTAGTTTTTGAGTTCTAATTGTGAAACTCTTACACACATTCATATGTATGTATTAGTATATATACGTAGTTGTGTGTGTGTGTGTGTGTGTGTGTGTGTGTTGTGACTTGGATTGAGAGTAATGGTCAGAAAATAAACCTGCAGCCATCTTTTCAGAGACAGTCCCTCCTGCAGAGTAAGCTGGGCTGGCTTCAGGACCGCTGAAGCCATTGTCCTGTCACCACACTGTGCTGACTGTGCTACTGCCAACATCATCAGGCAGCCACTGCCACCCTCACTGCCAACTCTGTCTCTCTCTTTTTTTAATTGAAATATATTTTCCATATAGCACTGTAAATTTAAGGTGTACAGCAGGTCCTCAAATAATGTTGGTTTGTTCAACATTGTTACCCTATAATGTTGATGAGATGCTGTAGGAACTTGATTCTTGTGTTGTTGTTTTTTTAATATGTTTTTATTAATTTCAGAGAGAGAGAAAGGGAGAGGGAAAAGAGAGAGAAACATTGATGTGAGAGGGAAACATCTGTAAGTTGCCTCCTGCATGCCCTGTACTAGGGATCAAGCCCACAACCTGGGCATGTGCCCTGACCGGGAATCAAACTGGTGACCTCTTGGTGCATGGTACAACACTCAATGAACTGAGCCACACCGGCCAGAGCTTAACTCTGTTTATATCAATTAGCCTGTGGTAAAACTGGTTTCATTATAAGTCATTTTTTGCTTAAAGTCACAGAAGCTGTCAATGATGTTAAGTGAGGAATTCCTGTACATCACATTGATTTGATACATATATATTGTAATAATATGATTGCCATTGTATTGATTATTGGCACCTCTATCACCACATAATTATCTGGAGT